ACCCCCCAAAGGGGAAAAAAATTCCAGAAGGAATGGAAAGTCTTCCCAGTTATTTTGCCAAGGTGATTAGTTCTATATGAAAATGGCCTTAAGTATAATGGGCAAAGGGTCCAAGGGCTGCTTTTTTTTTTTCCCTAGGAAAGAATAAGCTATAATCTCTCATGTTAAAATATTGGAAAATACGTTGTCTTAAGATTAAATAGTATCCGTTACAACAAGAATCATCATTAAATTAAAACCTAGTTATGGGTAACCAAATTATTTGGCTTTATTATTAGTTATAATTTATTAGACAGTTAAATACATTTTATTGTATTTTACTATATACCTAATTTTGCTCAGTATCTTTTGCTGTAGATTCTGTGGTTAAGAGTTATATTGGCATGTCCTTAGGCAGAAAAAAAACAATCATTTTACTGAACACATGGGGACATACTATTTTAATTGATTCTCTTTGATACTATTGTCCTTTGTCATATTTTGAATTAATGCTGAAGTTGGCGATCAAGTGAAAAGACCTTGGGAAACTACAGTGTCAGTGACAATTAACATTGTATCCCTAGCATTATAATCATGCCATTACAGATTCTAATTTGGCCAGCAATGGACCAGCAACATAAACAGTACCTGTCACTTAATGACCATATGGAGCATTCTGTGTTCTTCCTATCGCTTCAGGTCCTTAACTTCTCCAGCTGGTTGTTTTAAACATACTACAAGAACGACATTTCAGACACTGTTGCTCAAATAGAGTCAATTTTGCAACAGTAAAATGCCTCTTAAAATAGGATTTTACTCTAGGGGGAAAAACTCTCTATAAAATAGTCACAATGCACTTTTAATGACTAATTTAGGCTGTTATACAGCGAAATAAGGGATAAATCAAACTTTTCATAACACTAGCATATAGGAACAGTTTTAATTTTTAAAGGCAAATACCTACATTAATCTGAGGCTAAAATAACAGACCACTGACTTAAAATCTTCCAACATGTTCTTTCACAGTTTATAAAAATATTTCTCTTGCAAATATTGACGGCCTGGTAGGCCTAGGGTGCTTGTATTTCAAGGATCACTATAAACTGAAGTCTCTCTCTCTCTTTTTTTTTTAAAGTGCCAGGAGCATTTAGTTTGAAATCTTAATTGCCTCTAAGTGTAGGAAGGCAGACGTGGAGATTAATGTGAATGCAGGTTACCAGATTCACTCCCTTGCTTTCACCAAAACCAGATTCAATGACCCAACTCCCTATTTCCCCCTCCCAACTATCTCCCTCACCCCACCTCAGAACTGGTGTGTATTTAAAAAAAATTATTTTACATGCAGTGTATAGGCGAAGAAAGGTAAGATAGCAATCTCTGATTCCCACAGTAAACGGAGCTCCATAAGCTCCATAGCCTGATTGCAGCTTTGAGGGATCAGTGACATTTGGAAGGGAGCAACTGAATGGAAGGAGAGTCAGGTTTGATTGCAATATTCTTTGTACCCTCCTCCCTTCCAGTAAAAAGGCAGATTTATAATTATAGTTCAGAAGTGGAGGGGGGGGCTGGAGAGGGAGGAAGTTTCTGCAGCCTTGACAATGGCCATCCCCTCTTTGTAACAACCAGGCTTTGGTGCAACTCCGAATCTGTCTCTTCCCCCTCCCCCCTTCCCCTTTCCAGGCTCAACCTGGCAATCGCTGGCACAGTTAAATTCCAGCAATTTCTTCCCATACCCCCCAAACTACTACAAGCTATTACTACTACTACCCTCCCTTTCAGTACGCCTCCAGCGCCTTCTTCCCCAAAACAACACGACGCTTGGGGTGGGGGGGGGAGGGAATTAAAACCAGGGAAAGGGGGGAAAAAAACCACTGACAATCAATCGTTGAAAAAGGCAACAGTAAACCATGCACATCCACAAGCCAACTCAGGCAGGCTTGGTCTGTCCTGAGCAGTTTCTGTGGTTCCATGTACAAACAGGGAGCGAAGGCTGGAGCCTTTACAGGCACACATGCATACGCGCATACAGTAGAGCTGTCTCTCAAGGCACATTCTTCCACACCATCACCCCCTCCTCCCGGTACTCCCGGAGTAGCTAACGGGTCCGAGTGACAGCGCAGGCCCACCAACCCCGGCAGGGGTGGGCAGGAATTCTCGCCGTGCGCAGCCAACTGGAGAGCAGCTTCCGGAGCCTCTAGCGTCAGGGGGGTGGGCCTAGCGAGGAGTAAGGAGGAGGGGCCCGAGTTTAGGAAGAGGAGGGGAAGGCTGTCATCAATGAAGTCATATTCATAATCTAGTCCTCTCTCTAGCTCTGTTTCTGTACTCTGGGTGACTCAGAGAGGGAGAAGATCTATCCAGCATACTCTTCACAAGCAAGGTAAATATAACTTACAACTCCCTTCTCCCCACCCCACCCCCACCCCTGCTCCTGCAGCAGCTGCTGTCGCACAACCACCTCCCGTGCACACTCAGCCTTCACCCGAATTTATTCATTATTATCATAATTATTATTGATTGTACATGCACAGAGACCAAAACAAGCGAAGAAGCGAGGGAGCAGCTAAACAAACAAAACAACAACGTTCTTCACCGGTCTCAGGTGAATAAGGAACACACAACGCAGCACCTGGGTGGTTGTAGAAGAGGGGAGGAGGGAAAGTTTCCAAGAGAATTGGGTTCTAATAATAACAGTAATCATGACTACTTAATGGGGACAAGAACAAAAACCAGACACACAATCCTGTACCTGGCTACCAAGTCACCGATGCGCAGCCAACTCAAGGTTGCAAAACAAACACACACAACACACACACACACACACACACACACACACACCACACACACACTACAACGCACATAGATGGGCAAGGTTGCATTCCTCCCCACCATTAAAAACCTCGGATAGGAAAGGGGGAGGAGGGGGAAGAATGAGGGAGGATGGAAACGCGACAGTTCATAATAAGAAATCATCATAGTAACAGTTGGAGGGGGAGGAGAGAGCAAAATCAAAAGCTTGTCACAGAGCACCGGTAGCCCTGGCTGCTTTCTCCCAGGGACTTGTTTCAAGAGCTCGGGCAGCGGCGGGGACAGAAATAGATCGAAAGCAGCAACAGTCGGGGAAACCGAGGCTCAGCTCCGCCGTGGCGGCGGCGGGGGCGGCGGAGGTGGGAAGCGGCGTCGGCGGCAGCAGCAAACAGAGGCGGCAGGAACCTGGCGGGTATGTTGGACTCGAGTGCCTTTACCTTTCCCCCCCTTTCCTCCTACTGTGACAGACCCGTGGACTTGTATGGTGGTAGTGGTGCTGCTGCTGCTGGTGGTAGTGGTGGTGGGAGGGGACAGAGGGTTGAACCGAGGGTTGCAGGAGAACGCACCCGGTGCTCTCCTTCCCCCCTGTCTTCTCTGTGCACCAATGAGTGCCCACCCCAGTGCCTGCCTGGCAGGAGCAACTGGGAATTGGTTTGGTGCATGTGTCTGGAGGAGGCATGCATGGGGCGGCGGCAGCTACAGCCTGGGTGCCTGGGCTGCCGCCGCCGCTGCCGCCGAGTGTTGAATGTTGAAGTTGAGTGTGTCCGGCCCGGGCTCAGCAGCTGGGCAAGTGGAGGTGGGGAGAAGAGGAGGAGGAGGAGGAGGAGGAGGAGGAGGAGGAGGAAAAGGAGGAGGAGGAGGAGGAGGAAGACAAGGAGGAGGAGGACTAGTAGAAGGAGAAGGAGGAGATCTGATTGCCCCCTCCCATTTTTTCTAGGGCAGTGGGAGCTGAGGGTGCTGCGAGCTATCCCTTTCAGGGTCAGCGGCGGGGGTGCGGGTGGGATGGGGAAATCAAGTGAGTGAGAAGGGAAGAAATGGAGCTTGTTAAGAGTGAGTGGTTGCTGCAGCAGCAGCGGCTGCATTAACCAGTCGAGCCAAGGAGGCCATGATCCGGATAATCTCCCTGTCTGACTGTCACTAACATTACACACATACGCGCACACAAACACTCTCTCTGACACACATACACACACAGATGCACGCAAGTGCAAGATTTAGAGGTGCAGGGCGGGGGGGGGAGCTGCTCCCTTGTAGGAGAGGGTCCAGAGTCTCCTGACCACTGATGTCTCTTCTCGTTCCTTGTCTTTTTAGTTTTGTTTGGTTCTGATCAAATCTGGTTTGGCTTCTGCCCCCTTCCTTCGCCTTCTTCCCCCTCCCGCCTCCCAGCGTCCAGAGCTCCTCTCCTCCTTCTGGTTGCCTTGCAAAACACAGTCACGCGAACTGCAAAGGTGTCGCGATTCACTTCCCCAAATAGCCTGTCCAGCTCGTCCCTGACTTGGCCCGGTCCTCTCCCCTGGCAGCCGCCGCCGCCGCCACCTCCCGAGTGCAGAGCAGCGGGGCCGGACATTCGGGCATGCCCGGTGCCTTGCATCCAGCGCATCTGTGTATGCCTGGCTTCATCTGGAAGATAAATGGATCGCCCCGTGCATTAAACGCTTCCCGGCCCAAAGACTTCGTTTATTTCCGGTAAACGCGGGGAAATCGCCTCTTGCGTCTTTCCCCCAGCTTTTTTTTAGCTGTAGCCAGTGTGCAACTACCTAGATGAAATGGTGAAGACCTAGGTCCTCCTGTTTTCATTTGTTTTTTAGTGGTCGGAAGGCAGGGAGGAGGGCGACAAGGAACTTGCCCCTGTTGCTTTGGGTGGGGAGGGGGTCTGCCTAATCCAGACCCCGGGAGGGAAGTTGGAGATGTCTAAAGCAGAAAGTTTGGCAGGGTAGATAACTAAGGTGGAGGTGGAGGGAGAGAGCGGCGGAGGGCCCGGGGGTTTACAGCTAGTATTACAGTTTGCTCTAGGTTGGCGTGTGTGTGTGTGTGTGTGTGTGTGTGTGTGTGTGTGTGTGTGTGCGTGTATGTGTGCGCGCGAGTCAGGAGCAGCAGGAGGAAAGCAGCCACCCTCCTCCTCTCTCCTCCTTCTCCTTCTCCTTCTCCTCCTCCTCCTCCTCCTCCTCTTCCTCCCTCCCCAGCCTGTGCCTGGAGAGGAAAAGGCGACGTTTAGTGGTGGTGGTGGTGGTGTGTGTGTGTGTGTGTGTGTGTGTGTGTGTGTGTGTATGTGTATGTATGTGTGTGAAATCAGCGGAGAATCAGGAAGTCACAGCAGCGAAACACACATACACACACATACACACAGACATGTTTGATCGGTATGACATGTTGAGAGGGGAGGGAAGAGGAAGAAGAAGCTGGGGAGAGACAGGCCTAGCGCTCTCGGGAAATATGCTCTCCGCCGTCCCGGCTGGCTCCAATAATAACCACCGCCTAGCACCCAGGCACGTCGGCTTCGCTTTGTGCTCTGCTCCTCCCTCCAGGTAAGGGGTCTGTGTGTCCGTCTGTGCGTTAATCAGTCAGTCAGTCCGCCCGCCTGCCTGCGCCAAACGTCTCCGAGGTTGGGAGAGGTTGTTCTCCACCTCCTCCCCCTTCCCCTTCTCTTCTCCTCCCCCGCCCCCCCATTCGTCCCCCCTTGAAAAGTAAGACAAGAAAATGGGCTTGCTTCTGGTCGGATCGATTAGATGGAAAACTTTCCGACAAGAGGGAAAGGGGAAGAAAATATGGCTCTGCTCAATGCGATTGCTGCGGCTGCTTGTCATTCTCTCCTCCTGGCGTTTGTACATTTATGGGTTTACTTTGCCCCAGGGCTGTTGTAGATTCAAACTTCGGGCCTAAATACGCCTGAAACTCTCGCAGGATTTACTCTAGGAATAAAATAAATATTTAAAGTTGCCCACTTTGTCTTCCAAGCGTTTTGATTTTTCTGAGCAGCTACCAGGGTGGAGGAGGAGGAGATACAGTACAGTACTGTGTGGAGCTCTTTTCCTTTTAGAATGTGGGTACCGTATGTTATGTAACTTTAATAGCAAATGGGTACAAAACTCGTGCCGTGTCGTTCCTCCCTCCTTTGTTTATATAACTTTTTAGTAGAGTTTTGAAGTGTTTCTGCTTTTCTTTCTTTTGCTAAATGGCCTAGGTTTTTATTTTATGGACCTAAGGCACTGATGTCCCAAGTTACCTTACTGACTTGTACTCTAAAGCGAAAAACCAGTGGGCAAATAAAAGAAATAGTCGAAAAATATAAAGGAAGGAGATTTGTTTCTTCAGTGATTGCTTTAAATTAGACCTTAGAGCTTTATTTACCAATTGCAGAGTTAAATTCTTAAAGATTTCCATTTCAAAAGACTTCTATTGGTGATTTGATGTTTGCCTAGGAGAACCAACCAGTCAGTTGTTGCAAAGGCTACCTATCCTAACAGAAAGAGTAAACAGTTTCTTGGGCAACGGCCATTGATCTGAAACTGTTGACAGCTTTGCAATTTTAGTTCAGCAAATTTAACAAACTTTTATTAAGTGCCTACTATATTTGCTGAATATCCTTTCAAAAATATTTCCCTGCTGGTTGGGGCAACTAACCCCTTGTGTCTTGTCAGCTGAGTGTCTGGGTTCCATTTCCTAGCTACTTTCTAGTCTACTAGGTTATATGTTAAGAGGTGTGGCAGTTTTGTTTGTGTGACTTGGAGCATTGTTATGCAAATTGAGGCACGCTTTCTCTTTGGGAACCTAATTGCTCTATCATTCCTCCCTGACTTTCTTCCTTTTAGCTTCTTTGTCACTCAAAAGTGCCCTACTCAAAGGGTTTTAAAGACAGTTTTTATGTCCAAGTAATACTTATGAGAATTGTGAGAGAATGAAAAGGACCTATTAGATCATAGAACCCATCTGCCTTGTCAGAGGCAATCAGGCAGAAAGACCATAGTGATAATGAACATTTTAAAATAAAATCTGAGTTAAGTGTATCATATAACACAGGAGAGGCTGGCAGGGGTGAGCGTTGGATGCTTCATTAAATGCAGTATTTCTCTCCTGAGTTATATCCCAGCTTCAAGACCAGCATCACTGTGGTGTTTCATAGAAAATATGTACCACCAGAGTGTTCAAAGCAGCCTTAGATCTCCTTTTGTTCATTTCTAAAATGGTCTGTGAGCATTTCTTGTCTAGTCTGTAAAGTACTTTGACCAACACCTGAGGCTCGATATTGACAAGAAAAAAACTTCTCCAATGAGCAGTTTAGATTTTTATTCAGGAATTGTGATTAATATATTCTGGAAAGGGAATAAAACAGAAAAAAAAGCCAAATTTTTTAGCTATTGATTTAGAACTTTTTTATTGACTTCACATTTGACATCAGAAACTGTAGATAATATTGCTATTCACATTTCATGTTCTTAGATTGTTAGATTGTTATCATTTTGAATCTATTATAATGTCAACATTAACTTCTAAGGCCTTGCCCACTGGAACAAGACCATAAAAAAAGAAAACTTAAGCTATAAAACTGATGCTGTCTGTATGTGTATGTCTTCCAGTTCTTTTAGAAGATATTTGTGTGTATAAGAGCGCTTACCTTCTTATACCCTTCTAGGGCAGTGGCTTATTGATATTCTGGAGAAAGAATAAATCACTATTTATGATATCTTGACATGTTGCCATGCAAATGGTTGAATTATCACAAATATGCTGTTAAAATTACTTCCCAGCACAAGCAACTACAGGGAGATATAGTCGCTGGAGGTGGAGACCTGATTTAACCACTAGTAGTTTTGAATCTGTATGCCTGATAAAAATCATTTTTAAAAGAGTCAGGGATAATTAGTTGGTTAAAATGAATGATCTTAGAAGCTTTACTATGCATGAAAGTCACATTTTCTCTCAGCAGTTGTTTTCCCCCTTCCCTGGGGAGAGAAGATTCTTCCCCTAAGGGGAAGAACTTTATTTTGTAGACTTCTGTTTTCTTTTTTTTCTCTTCAGAACTTCATTACTAAATTGATCTTTGTACTCCTTTTCCATTAAATATGGGTTATGTTTTGTAAATGGAATGATTTTGACCAAAAAAGGACAGAACAACTTTTCTTTGGAAAAGTTTGTCATAGAAATTTAATCTCTTGCTAGTTAGTAAAGCCATGTATGTTACTAAAAATCTGTACTCTTTATATAGTTGAGTGGAAAGTACAGATGGTACTTATAGTTTAGCACTAATGTGTTCCAAATGCAGCCTTAGTGGTAAGTTAATTTAGTACTCTATTTGGAAAGTCCTAGTGTATTTTTGTATTTTTCCTTAGAGAGTTTTTGTTCATTTATTTACCTAAGCAGTGCAGTTGAGGTATTGGTTCTGCTAGGTAATGAAGAATAATAGCAAACGCATTCACCTAAGATACTTACCATCAAGTTAAACATAGCCATGTTGGTAGATATTTGACAACTTTACGGCTGTTTTACTTCTATTATATGTTTATTATTTGTTTCCCATATTGATATATTGCCTTTTCCTCTAAAGAGCTCAAGGTGCATTATGGAAAGCTTTTAAACAATAAAAGTTTTAAAGATGAAGATATAAAGACATTTGTCAACCAGTTCATTTCTGTAGCTAGGAAATCAGATAACACTGAGAGTAACAGGGTAGCAGTGAAGAAAAGAGGGAACAAGGGTGCTGGCTTGGCTAGATTGGAATATAAAAGCTCCTTAATTTATACTGTAATTTGGAATTTGTGACAAAATGTCATATCAGACTTATTGAATAAGATTTTGAAATAAGTGATATAACTGGACTTTTTAGATTTTATGATACATTAGTAATACAATGTAAGCTTAATGTGGACTGTAATTTTTCATTAACTCTAATGTACATGCCAAAAATGTGTTAATTACAGTAGACTTCCCAAAACTTGCCCCCGTTTTGCCTCATACTAACAAAGTATCTCATAATTTTCTTTTGTATCTTTTTTATGTCTTTACTTTGAGGGAATAAAATGAGGGCAGTTTTAATTATATTCTTTGAAATATCATGTATAAAATACCCAATTTAACATCAAATTGAAACAACTACTGTGTACTATCAGTGCAGATGCTAGCATGTTATTATGACAACTGATCTCTTTGAAAATGGGCTGGTCCTTGTGCAAGTTGGCAAATGGAACTAACCAAGCTCAGAGAAATGAAAGTCTTACTAACTGTGAAATTTTGGGTTTTTTTAAACAATAGGTTATTTTCTAATTCAAGAATAGAGTTTTACTAACATATTGTTTTTAAGCTAATAACTTTTTTTCTTCTAACTTCTAGGAAGAATGACAATATTTTAATTTGTGCTGTGACAGTAATATGTAGGCCATTTCTGAGTGAAACTCTACATCTTTACATCTAGATTATGTTTCACTTACTTGTGATGAATGTGAATTGTCAAAGTGGAGATATTGATCAATTCTGACTATGATCAACTACTATTCAAAACTATGTTCTGTAAACACTTTTTAGGTAGTGTCCACTTATATTATATTTACAGTCAACTTTATTTATCATTCTTTAAAACTGAGAAGTTTCATGGGACCCCACAATATATTCTTAGTATTGCTTTCTTAGCCAGTATTCATGTAAGCTCCTCGCTAATAGGGGTTGTTTCATTCATTGTTTCTGTGCCTAGCATAATGCTCCGCACATAGGAAGCACTTGATAATTACTTGTTGATCAATTGATATGAAATGCAGCATTTTCTATATGTGATATAATCATTTAACTTTTTAAAGCAAATTATTTAAACATAAGTTGTTCACCATAAATTCATCTATTATTTCATTTTTTATTTTCCATAATATCAACTGAATATGATTTCTACATACTGTTAAAGTAATCAACAAAACTGATTCTGAGGATATAGTGCTATGCTGGGCATTGTGGGATTAAGACTGCCATAATGAGGAGGCGGTCTATCTGAGAGGAAAAGATATACACACGTACATGAAAAGAGAAGACAAAACTATTACCCTGGTGTAAGGGTTTAGATTGTGAGCTCCTTGAGAGTCGGGCTATTTTTTGCCTTTTTTTGTATCCCCAGAGCTCAGTACAGTTTGTGGCATATAGTAGGCACTTAATAATTGTTTATTGACTGAGTGACAATTGGATAGTATAAGCAATAAGTAATTCAGAAGGTGGAGAGTTTACTGTGTTCTGGCATGAGTCTGAGAAAGGTTTATGGAGTAGGTAGACCTTGAAATGGACCTTGATGGATAGGAGTGGATCAGGAGATGACATTACACACTGGGTGGTCAGAAAAGAAAAGATGAGGAGGCCAGATTGAGTAAGATATGTACAGAGATCAATGAATAGGCTAGTCTGATTGGAGCAGAAGGCTTTAGTTACTGATGAGGGGCAGGTGAGGTTGGATTAGGTTAGATTGTCACCTTGGATGCTAGGTTTATTTCTATACTTCAAAAAATATTTGATCACAGGTATGAAGATTACATCTACTAATGCAGAGAAGAACCCC